TAATTCCGACCTATGTATTACAGATAGAAATCTTTCCCCATTCTGTACCATCCTCACAGGTTTTGCAGATCTCAAACATGTCGCTGCAGCCACTGCTTGATGGCCCATCTCCTTGATGATCCTTCCTTTACCAGACTCCCTCACAGCTACTCTATGAACAGATCTACACCTCACTGTAACCTGCACATTCCCATGATCTCTGTTATGCTAAAGCCCATTGTGGTTTTCACTAGATTAACCTTTCTAGTGGTGAATCTTCTTCTCTTTGACTTTTTCAAGCATCATATTATTTTCCAGTTTTTAAAATGACATTCTTGTTCCATAACAGTTTAAAGAGGTTCTGGACAGCAGATTTTCCCGACGCAATATGTTTTTTTGGCATCTTTTCTATAGTTAAATTTTGTGGGTTTTTAACATTTAGTTTCATTCATGGACATTGTGTTGCATATAATAATTTACATATATATATAGTGTTTTAGCTAGTTGATTAATATTGATGTATGCCTTTCACCACATTATCTTTTCAAGTCTCCACTGCATCTTTCACTTCCATATCCCCTTCATCAGTCCACAACAGCTGCTATTCCATGATTTCCCATCCATTTCCTCTATTGCTCCCCTTCCTCTCCTCCCCTTGTATGTTCAGACATATCACTCTCACTTATCTTCCTGTTTCAAAATAGTGTTCTTACACAGTATTTGACCTTCTGTGACTGATTTATTTCACTCAAAATATTTCTGTCTAGACTTTTCTGTGTTGTGTCATATTTTATTACTACATTGTTCTTCAGGGCTGAATAGTACTCTGTTGTGTGAATATACCACTTTTATTCATTAACCTGCGCACTTGGGCTACTTCCATTTTCTCGCTAGGAAGTTATGCTGCTATAAACATAGGTGTAAATATCTCCATTTATGTCTTATTTCTAATTTCCCTATGAATCAGGAGTGCATCCACTTCCGAAACCACGGGCCTCTGGAAACTCTATGAACTTGGTAAAACGACGATAGTTATGGAACAACATTAGGTTTTTTGTTCATAGAATTGCTATGAGTCATGCTCGACTCGACGGCAATCAACAACAACATATTCCTAGTAGTAAAATAGTTGGGATATATGAAATTTTTA